TCAGCTCAAAATTTACTGCAACACTTGAATCACTAATTACAACAGAGGAAAAGTTCACTTTCCGATGAAATCTACTGCACTCACCTCATTAATGTTGATGTATTCAAGCGGTAGATTCCCAACCGAGTTAACAGGACATGGCAATCCGAGAAGAGTTGACTGTCAGAAAAGTCAATCAGCAGACCAATAAAAATAATGGAGACGTCATTAGGTTCAGAACAAAACTAGCAAAGACAAAAATTAAGCACAACCATGATTGGTGCAATATCAGCTTGATTGACATTCACCCTTTCAATGCCATCAAGACCCCATTCTTTAGGTGTTGGAGTGTCATGTGGATGTTCATCGACTAAACGAAAACCAAAATCAGAATGATTTGTTCCAGATGATGGCCCCAAACAACGAGAGGGGTATCAGTGTTTGTGGGATGACCGCCTCCATGACTACCTGCCAGTAAAATGATAATTATGTCAACATTTTTTTTTTTTAGATAGGGAATAGATATATTCTATTAAAGTAACAAATTTAACAATGAAGGTGAACAAGCATTCCACCAAGGGGAACACTAAATTTTTCTTTTTCTAGAATGAAATGAAGTAAGAATATTCCCAAGGCAAAAAATTAATATGATATAGAATAATTCTGACCTTTGTCATGCATCCAATGATACGGGTGAAAACATACACTGTATGATTGTCCTCAAAATAGCCTTCAAGAAGAGAATACATACGCTTGGCAATATGGTCAACAACCTTCACATTATTGAGGTAGATAGACGAAAAGAGCCGATGTGCATGCCCATTCAAATCACAACCAAGTAGATGTAGAGATATAACACGATTATCTTGTAGTAGTACCTCCAACTTCGGGTCTTCATTGGACCTATTAAGAAGGCTCTGAAATTGATCAGAAGACCACTCATCCAAAAAAGACGCATCTGCATTAACACTACCGTATTGATAAAGCATTGAATAAAAGTTACAACTCTAAAAGCTAACACACCAAGATATAAATCATTCGGGCCTTGTAAATGAGTAAAGATTAGGTTTTCAACACACAAGCCAGTTTACACCAAGATATAGTCAACTATAATGCAGAAGAAAGAATATCAGTACATGCCAGCTAAGATGTCTTTATATTCATAAAGTTCTAAGAAAGCTTCTTTTTGCTTCTAGCATTTACTAAAGAACTTTAAGAACACTAATGAAATATATGTATGTTTTCCGTGCTTACAGAAATTGACTGAACAAACCAGTTGCAAAGTCTTCGTAGTCATGAGAAAAAGTATTTTAGGTGCTGTGTGGCAAGGCTCCACAAAATATCGGAACAATATCTGGGCTACCATCAGGAATTGTATGATGGATTTGATTAAAAACCGAATCAAATTCAACTGGATAGCTTTCCATCCTGCGAATGCGAACAAAAACGTCTTTAGCTTACACAATAAGTTGGTCGCCACACACAAACTTTACAGGAATTAAAAAAAAAAAAAAAAAATTATATTGACCTTTTGTAACAGCGCTAGGATCCTCATAAAAACCAGCAATTAGAACAACATGTCCAGGCCTTGACTAAGTAGGGGGCCGAGCATGAGACTCCCCAGCCACCTTGATTCTTAATCACACTCCTCACAAATGGTGCTCTGAAATTCCCTTCTGAATCCGGCTCAAAAAATTTATCATCCCGTAAACCATCCGCTGTACAAAATCTTTCCAAGACAAAATCTTTCCAAGACCCCTTTAATATATTTTGCAATATGTTCTCATTAAAATTTCCCAAACAAACACCAAAAATAGCAAACACATATATGCTCAAAACGCACACTTTTAACTACTTCATTGAGACAAATTAAGAAACACAATACTCAAAAAATTTACCAAATAGCTGAATTCCATCACATGCGCTTCCAATAAGGAAACACTAACACGATCAAAACGAGGACGTTCTAAATCATTTTTTACTGAGACAAACGAGCAAACACCTTGTGTACAAAAGTTTCGAGAATGTACCCACTAAAAGGACGAGGCGTTTGGCGGGCGCCTTGAAGCGAGGGGTGACGGAATCCATGCCATGAACAATAGGAGTCTTGAAATAGATATCGAAAATGCTTAGCATGTAGACAGCGTGAAGGATCACACCGAGAAACACTAGCCACATCTCTCGTGTCTTAAGCCATTTTTTCCTGATATTGCGGCTTTTAGATGATTGTTTCCTGCCCAAGATCCCATCAAAGTCCATACCTTTGTTTTCTTGGTGTTTCTGTTTTCAATCTGCGGTATATGTTTTCCGTTTTCTTGGGAGTCGTCGTTGAGTAACTGTGTAGAGGACAGTGACACCCTCAAAGTTTCTAGGTACAAGCCTATTGTCTTTAAATTGTCTTTAATTTAGTTTTGATGTTTAGGACAACATTAGTTGGTTACACATCCGTTGATGAATTTTTATGCTCATTTTTTTTTTAAATAAATAAATATCATCTCAATTCAACTTGTTAGTTTTTATTTCTATCAGTCCTATACAAAATTTTATGCTATGTTTTAAAGGGAGAGTCGAAATCCGATATACTCATCTGATTATAAAGTCTTGTTTTGTCAACAGAGAGGACGAAACCTTTGACTACCTTTCTGGTTTAATAGGTTATTAGAATTGGGTGATTCTATCATATTATGATAAATCTATACATATCGATTCTAATAAGATCAATTGTAACGTTGATATGCGTCAACAATTAGGTTTGGTATTTTAATTTCGACTATTATGTATTTGTACCAGTATTTCTAGATTTGTATTTGTCCCTTCTAAAATTAATTTTTGGGTTTATCCCTATTTTCAAGTTTCATTACACCTATGTTTAGTTACTTGTTTTTTTTTTAGTGATTGTCTGTTTGATTTATTTATGTTGTTAATTACAGTAAATTTAGGTTTAATTACATGCATATGTTCATATTCCATAATTAAGTCCATGGTTAAATAAAGAGAGAATATTTATGATCAATATATAACAAAGTAGTGCATGTTTAATATTATAGTTTGGGAAATATTAATTCCCATAAATTATACACTAGAACATAACCCATGGTTTAGTTAACAATATTGTTTTGCTTTATTTAATTCGCTAATTAACGTAAAAGTTAACTCAAATGATATGGAAAGAGATTGAGCAAAGAAGTTTTAGATTGATGGAAGAAATCTGGCAAAATCAGAATAAATTTGCGTACACATTTTTATGAGAAAATTGAGCTCAAGAGTAAAGGCCAACTCAATTGATGAGGGTTTCATGTTTGAGATTAGTAAGGCTTAGTTTAAGATTATTAAAGAATAATACTGAATAATACTATATATATATATCATTCTCATACAACATTATGTGGTAATATATGATTGGATGAAAGTTTAATTTTAACTTTAAATTAACCAATCGTATCTTGCCATATAATATTATATGAAAATAATATACGTGTAGTATTACACTCTATTTAATTACAAAATCACTTTTACAAGAGAAGATATAATTTAGTATAGTCTAGTATTTTGTACATACTGACATTTATACCCCCTCTAGTTGTGAAAATTACTGTCGAACCCCTAGTGTTTAACAGTCATTACTTCTTTTTAGTTAATTTTGACAGAACAGGGATAAATTAGTCAATGCAACCTAAACCAGCAAACCTTCATCAGCCCGTCCCCTTTCCGCCAAGCCCAGGTGCCCAACCACCCTATGGCGGTATGGCCCCTCACCCCTTCCTTCTCTCAGCGTCTCCATCTTCCAGTGAATCCCCAGTGGCCACCCACCCTACCTTCCTTTCCAAAATAACACTTTAAACCAAAATCATGAACCACCCAAATCAGAATCCACTTCACTCAAATCAACAACAAAAAAAGAAAAAAGAAAAATCATAGGAAATGGAAAAAAGTATGAAAGAAATCCACAAACTCAGTAGCAGGGATGAAAATCATCGGGGCTGTATTCAGTGAGGGGCTACGCTGGAAGTGGGGACACGTGAGATGGTGGTGAGTGGGTGCACGAGTCGGGTGGGTGGGTGCGTGCGGTGGTGAGAGTGGGGGTGCGAGGGGAGGGATAAGAAGAGGTTGGGGGAAGGGAGGACAAAGAAGAAGGTAGGAAAATGTGCATATATATAATCAAAGGTATTTAAATACTCTGTATGGGTAGTGGACTAGTAGGCAGATTTAGATGATAACATATTGCCAAAGTCCTAACAATTGAGGTGATAAATAGCAAATTGTTTACCAATATATCAACAAAACGGTCTATACAGCCTACATTAAATAGATAGATCGTTATTACACCATGTTGAAATTACTATGTTTGTTTAATGAAAAATTGACAGAAAACAGGGGAATGGAAATAGAGAAGCTCTGTTTTGCTTTGTTTATTCTCTGATTTGATTCATAAAAATGGTTGTAGGACATATGAAACTTTTTTCCTTTACATTTAAAATATTCCTTTGAATTCTTGTAGGAACTTAGAAACAGAGTTGGTGTACATGGAGTGTTTGCTTGAGCTCTCTTATGGGCCCCCGGTTTGTTTAAGCGTGTTTAAAAGAGGCTCATAAAATTCAAAATTTCATTCACAAAATAAGCATGTTGCAGCGATAATTTAGGATTTAGAATGATGTACAATGAACCCTGCACACAATTATGATTTCTTCTAGGACAATTACAATTGTCATTATTGAAAATTTAATTCAGCCAACCTTCCAAAAAGGAAAATCATTATGGAATATCAATATTTTTAATCTGAAATTAATAAGCATCTAATGCTTTGAACTCCAGAATATTGAAACAGCAAATTTTTCTACATGTATTTTGATCCGTTAGGATTTCAGAGATGCCAATATGCCATTGAAATAGGTAACTATCCTAATGGTGACAGATTATCTCAAAACCAGAAGAACTGATTATCCAATTGATTTGAATAACTTACAGAATGTGCAAGAGAATAGTCCAGGTTTTTTTATTTTTGCATAGTTTATGCACTTACCATTTCAGTACAAATGTTTTGCTGTAAAAGACTGTCACTAGAGGAGTTTTTATTGTAATTTAAACAATTTTATTGCATCTTTTAATTAGATTGCAAGATATCTTGATAAAAGCTGGATTTTCATGGATGGATAGATCAATAGCATCTATTCTCTAGTTTTGCTGTTCTTCTGGTTATCATCTTCTGCTACTTGAAATTTATATATTTATTTCTTTGTGAGTAGGTGGAATCGTATTTGCGGATTATTGGAGAGCCAAAGATTCCTTAAGTATTTCTTCAAGTGCGTGCTGTCCCGTATAGCTTTCCTTTTCTTTGATGTATATTCCAGATAGGTCATCCCTGTTAGGTGTCTTCATTGCTGGTTTTGGTTGCAGGTTCTTTACTGGTCTTAGGGGAGTATGGCGCTGCAGATGGAAAGTTTTCTGCTTCCTACAGTACTGGAAAATTATTTGATGTTGCAGAGGCATATTCAAATGATGAAACTGTTAAGGTATCACGATTTTCTTGGAAAGTTTTGTGATGGTCACATTGTACATCTGCTGCGTCGTTCATTGTAATTCTGTGATCTGTGTTTAATCTTTAAATCTTGTAATTGCTTTTGCGCTTCATGTATGATGGCAATAATATTATGCGGATTTCACAGTTACCTTTTGCTATTTTTCTCATTTGAAATGTTTCTCTACTCTGTGTGTAAGGTTAGTTGAATTGTAGAAATTGGGAAACTTTTTTATGAAAACTTTTGTATTCAAATGCGTTGTCCTTGCACGCTTAGATATATATGTCAAATACATCTAATAGGGCTATAACCAAGGTCATAAGAAAATGATACATTAGTTTTTCTTACATGCAATTTTATTCTCATGTTACTTTTAATTGTTTGTTTTGATTACATTTTAATTCCGCCATCTGTATTTGATCTTTATATCTTGTAACTGCTTCTGATCTTAGTACCAATTGTAGAAAGTGGAAAATCATTTCTATACATACTTCTTTATTTAATGAACTGTCCTTACATGTGTAGATATATACATCTTTAACAACATGTGGAAGTGATTTAAACAGCTATCAACATAGAAATTAACAAACTGCATATTGTATCGTCTTGTTTGCCCAAAGTGTTTGGCAACTCGCAGAAATTGGAATACATAATACAAGTCCAACAAGTGAAACAACAGAACAAATGAATAAACAAAGGGCGCTCCACCTTCAACCAAATGTGAAGATAATATCAGTAAGATGGCAGGAACAAAGTCTCTGTTTACCTGGGGGAAACGGGCCATGGTGTGCCACAAACTATTTAAAGGAATGGCCTCAATCTTCTTTGGAGCTCCGCACATTCTGTAATGATAAAGCATAGCTCATTGAATTAAGGAAATAAAAGAAAATATGAATTCAACCAATTCAATTCATTAAAAATTAGAAATGCATGAGGTATTCTGGTGAGTCAATAAATACCATATTGTTTCTGAACAGATGTTGTATAGTGGAATTAAGGTTGCCTTCCCAACATTCTTCAACTTCATTCTCTCCTTCTGTCAATTGTAGTTTTTGCAGCTTTGTTGTGCTTAAAACTCCATGACAAAAAGTCTCCATCTTCAAGCATTGCCTGACAATTACTTTTTTTAAGGATGGGAATTCAAGAGTATAATCCTCACGACAAAAGCTTTTAAGGCTGGACAGACAGTGAAGTTCCAAACAATCCAATCTGTTGAAAACAATTGGATCCTGCAGTGCTTCATCTCCCAAATGTGTTATAATTTTCTCCATCAATTTGCAATCAGATACATTCATTCTTGTAAGTCGGTCTAGAGTTTTAGCTTTCAAAGGGGTCAGTAAATATCTCAATCCATCACACTTTGAAACTTGCAAAGTCTCCAAATTCTGGAAAGACATTGATGATGACCATGAATTTTCTAAACAGTCACATTCTGATACTTTCAGAGTCTTGAGATTTCGAAAAGCATTGCTAGGCTGAGAATTTCCTCTCCATATATGCAACAACTTGGGCATTTTACCTAACTCTAGTTCTTCCAAGCTAGGGAATGCATCCTGGGAAAATAGTCAATCACCAAAAAAAAAAAAAAAAAAAAGTGTTGAAACCAAAAAGAAGAGATGATTAGTTTATGTGGATAGCACTAAAGATGGTGAGATTAGAGATATATGGGAACTTACTTCTATTGATAATGATAATGATGTCAGAGTTTTCTAGTAAGAAAAATTATTTCAATTATGATAATACTACACATTTCACATAAAATTCATGCATTGCTAATAATAAATATGTTTAACATATCTTTTAAGAGATTAAATAAGAAAGAGATGCAAAATTAAGAAAATTTGTTAGAATGCCTTTACTTGAGTTGTAGAAATGATTTATTTGAGTATTGTGCCTCATACCTTGTAAACCAAGAATAGTGGTTGTTGACTTTCTCCATGAGTCCCTCGGATTCCAGAAAATTCTGAAGCAAATATCTCAATATTATCACATCCATGTACGTTCAACTTAATTAAATTTGGCCATTCAGAAATATGCATTTTCGGGTATAAACTTTTGAGACTCGGTAGCATCTGTAGAGACAACTCGGCTAAGTTAGAGAACACAAACTTAGGGACTGCTTCCTCCTTGTCAACAATTTCCTCCACCTCTCTAGACCTTTTCTCAAGCACTTGAAATATCTCTTCAACAGAATCACAATTTTGTACTTCCAAATATTCTAGTTTCTGGTGTCTCCCAAGCATGTTAGACGGAAAAACACTTACCAGTCTTTTACAAAAGTATACAAGCACATTTTTTAATTTGCAGAAGGAATCCAATGAGATCTGATCGTCCCAAATCTTTACCAACTCATCAGCATGACTGATTAACAATCTCTCCAAACTAGGGAATCTTACCTGAAGAATTCATTTACAATTACAATTACGACATAACCATCCCTTATTAGTAGATCATAAACATATAAATTAGCTGTGATTAAAAAAGAGAAAAATTGAAAACAAAATAAGGGGACGGAAAACCTTTTTATCAAAAAGAGATTGCATGCGAGTATAGTTCTCCTTTGCACTCATTTCTTCATTTTCTTTGCTTGATGATGTCATCCCACCACATATAGAATTGGATATGAATGTTTGAATAGCAGGGCAATTTTTAATCCAAAGTCTAAATAAGGAGGAAATTTCAACAATATTTGCAGTGGAGTTGCAGAATGTCGTGAGTTTTGGAAGATCTGTGAGCTTCAGCTCGTATAATTTAGGAAACAACATCCTACTTGATCTCTCTTCATCTTCATCTATTACTCTTTCCATGAACTTACAGTTAGATATCTCAAGCTTCTTCAGTTTGAAAAGACTTTTGACCATTGAAAATGGGAATAAATATTTTAAATGATCAAAGCCCTCGATGACCAAGTTTGTTAAATTCTGGAAGCAAGAAGGTGTTTCCAAGCTGGGTAACACAACCTGCATGCATATAAAATGTTTTTTTTTCAGAAACAAAAACTTTATTTTGTTTCTAAGATATGTGAATTTCTTTATTAAAACTTATCATCGTGTAAAAAAAATTGAAGCAGACTTACCTTTACGGTGAAAAGAGATGCAAGATGGATACCAAACTCCTTCATATGTATCTTTTGACAGTCCTTAATGATAATAGTTTCCAAGGGAGGACATTCCAAAATTTCACTTCCCGAATAGAAGCTTGTCAAGTTAGGCAGTGACTCAAGCACAACAGAGTTTAATTGAGGGATTACGATTTTATCACTCACTGCATCCTTTTGCGGTTCTTTTTTGATGATCACTTCTATCAAAGCACAGTTTTTCACTTCTATCGCTTGGAGTTGAACAAGACCCAACAGTATCCATGGTGTAAATATATATCTCAACCTGTTGCAATTGCCAATTTTCAATGATTTCAATTTCTTTAAGCCCAGAATTTCTTGACGATTTTCCTCCAAATCAAACACTTGTTCTAGTGACTCACAACTTCTTACATCCAACATTTCCAGATTTTTGAAGCCGCATAACACATTGGATGGAATAGCACTTGACATATCTGAAAAGTTATCCACTTCTAATGACTTTAAATTCCAGAATAAGTCGATTGGTGTCTGACCATTCCATAATTTTTCTTTCAAGTTGGGGAATTGAGAGAGTGTCAAATGTTCAAAGCTACGGAAACCAACCTGTGAAACCCAAAATATTGGATTAAAATATTGAATTTTGAAAGACTAAAACATAGAAAAGTATTTGAAGCTTAACAAAATGAATATTTATATATGAATGTCAATGAAATTTTAATATTGGATGTGCTAACTCATAATAACAAATTTCATGTTGATGTAGCAAAAAACAACATCCCTATTCTATTATTATAAAACATATGTAGTCACATCAATTGGAATCCAAAGTAGTCTTTCACTAAAAAGATTAAAAAAATAATTATTATAATACATAAATGTAACAATATTTTGTACTTCTTTATAGCTTTAATAAGTGCCCCTCTATGATAAGACCACCTGAAAGTTGGACATAAAAAGCTATGGAACGATTGAAAATCTTATGCTTTTACTTATTAGACATGAACCAAAGAAAATAGCCACTACATAGTTGTGAATATATAATAACAACAAATGAAAAAAAAAAAAAATTAGCACAGAATTATAAATCATACTATACTATTCTTTTTTCATGCAATTTTGCACAACAAATATCATTTAGTTTTGTCTTTGTAATCTAATTTGAAACTATGTAAGAAAAAAAATGTATATGGTCCTAGTTGCAAGTAGTTCTCATAAAAATTTAACCAAGGCATAATGACCCTTATAGAGCAGATTGAGAAAAACTAGATCCTGAATCAAAACACAAAATAATTGCTCAAAAACAACTTAGCGAAAATTTTGAACAAGTATCAATGTACGCTTTTTAAACTTGGTTAGCATGTAATTGATTTGTATATGCCATCAGTAGATTGAGATTTGTGGAATCCTAGAATTATAAATTTTTAATTGAAATAGGAGTTTGACAAATTTTCATTCTAGTCTATAAAAGTTAATAGCTCTTGTAGTCATGATTTTGGCGTTGTTGCATCAATCTCTATCATTAATTCAAAATTATAATATAAACAATATCATAAATAGTATTACAAATCATCATATATATTAGTAGCAATATCTGTAAAAAAAAAAATGTATATATAGATATCAATAGCAATGTTGTAAAAGGAAAGAAAATGATTTTGTTAAAGAATAAATACCATATCTGTAAACATTTGCTTGATAGTGGAGTTGAGGTCCTCCTTCCAAAAATATTCTGGGTCACCCTCTCTCGTCAATTGTACTCTCTTTAGCAAAGGTGTGCTTAAGACTCCCTGAGAGAAGATCTTTAATTTTGGGCATTGACTCACAATAACTTGCTCCAAACAAGGGAATTTAAAGGAATAATTGGTTGAGCAAAAGAATGTGAGGCTTGATAAACAATAAAGCTCCAAAACTTTCAATTGGCCAAAAACAATCTCCTCTTCTCTGTCCCCCTCCTTAGCTATTATCTCTATCACTAACTTGCAGTCTCTTATTGTCGTTGTTGTGAGATTGACAAGAGCTTTGGCTGCTGAGCATGTAAGTATGCTGACTAGTCCATCGCAGCTAACTACTTGTAGAGTTTGAAGATTTTGAAGAAATGTGTCCCCTCGTAAATCTTGTTTCCATATATGTCCTTGTTCATAGGGGAATAGCTCTTTGAAACTATTACCAACAAACCAAAGTGATTCCAAACAATTTAACCTTTGAAGGAAACCGGACAGAGAAGCAACATATTCATCATCAAAGTAACATAGCAAAAGTGTTTTAAGTTTTCCAAAGCTCTCAGCTAGATCACAGTGGAGGAATGTCAATTTGAAGTCATGCGCATCTAAAGCCAACGCTTCCAAATTCGGTATGACCTGAGAATTGATAAACAAGTAAATAAGTAGGTGTTAGCATTCACTCATCAACAAGTTCACCGATATACACAAAAACACTACGATTTTTTAGCAAGTTATCATTATTGAGAATGCAAACTGCACTCAAACAACAAACAAATGCTGGATTCTTAGTTTATTTTCATTTTTTATGTTACTTTCTAACTGAAACTGCAAAAGTTTGTCATGTTTCGCACCCAAAATCAAGTTGCAAGTCAAGTGGCATAAGTTAGTTAGGCAAGTTGATTAAGTTGTTGAAGGTTGTTATGCAAGTTGGTCAACTTGCTGAACAAGTTGATTTACTTCCCAGCAAAATAAAAGAACATCCCCTGTACTTGAAAACAATTAATGAAAAATAGTTGCCATTTCTACCTTGTTTCCCTATTTTTTAAATTCTTAGATCACCAAACCTTCACTCTAAACTGCCTTTACAATCATTAATTAGTAGTACAACTAATTATAAGCAAGTAGAAACATATATAACCAGATCTTTAATTTGGAAATAATGTAAATGGAAATGTACAAGGCAAAAGGTCTTATATACTTTTATGAGCCAAATTTTAATGAAAGAAATAAGAATTTGGTTTATGATGTGTGAAATTGATATTACCAACAAAATTTCTCCAAATGATTATGTTATTTAGATATTTCAAATAACTAAATAAATAAATATGTTACAATGTTAATATACACTTTAAACAGGAATTACATAAATGAACAACAATTTTTAATCAGCAAAATGAATAATATCTCACAGCTGAAACATTCAATTGATTATTATACATCAACTCGATGGATTTAAAGAGAAAAAATATAATCAGATTAAGCGATGATCAGATTAATCTGAATGATCATAAACATGTTGCATTTTTTAGTGAGTATGGATGAAATTGAAATCATACCTTTTCTAACAGAAAAATGGCAGGTTGGCTTTCCCCATCATCTTTCCTTTGGAAGCTAGGAAATTCTGAAGCATATATTTTTATCTTCTTGCAACCATACACAGCCACAAATTTTAGGATTGGCCACTCTATTGTATGGAACCCTGGGTAGAAACATTTGAGTTCTGGTAAATTATAGAGGCGGAAGTTTGTTAATTGTGGAAAAAAAAATCTAGGGGCCCCGTTAACTTCCTTCTCAGAAACAATTTTCTCCAACCCACAGGAGACTAAACAAAGGTCATTAAGTTGCACGAGACCAGTAGCTATAGTAACCGGAAAGACACTTCTCATACTCCAACAATTTTCCACGGTTAGCTCTTTCAGATTGTGAAAGGTGAGAAGTCCGTGCGAATTAGATGGAACAATAGTCTTTAACTTTTCACAGAATTTGACTCTCACTTTTTTTAGTTTGCAAAAGGATTCCACATGGAGTTGTTGGCTGTTCCATATCAATTGCAAGTTATCCAAGTGTAATAGTACCATCACCTCCAAGCTTGGGAAAGCAACCTGTAGCAAACAATCCATGATGTCAATATTTTTGTATAAAACACCCACAATCTTACGATGAGAAAGATGTCCAAATATTATGTAAGGTTGATTTGCTCTCAAAATCGAAAAAACGTTTTGAAAGCAATAGGCAACATAATTTTTTAGTATAAAGATAAATCACCTTTTCATCAAAAAGAGGGTTTATATCAATAAAGTAGTTCTCCAAGTTCAACTCTTCTTTAGGTTCTTCTCTCACCGTGCCTGGATAAATAGATTTGCAGAAGAATGTCTTCAAATTAGAGCAACCATCAATATGAAGTTCATTTAAAGACGGGAATTCGATTGAATTCCCGATGCCAAAAGTCACAAGTTTTGGCAGAACTTCAAGCTTCAGGTAGAATAGTTTCGGAAAACTCATATCAATTATCCTTTCTTCTCCTTCTTCCTTTTTTGAGTCAATTATTACTTCCATTGACTTACAGTTGCCTATCACAAGTTTATGGAGTTGGTTAAGACTTTTGACCATGGAGGATGAAAACAAAAATTTCAAGCCATTACACTCCTCCACGGTTAAGCTTTTTAAGCATTGACTATAAGAAGACATTGCCAAAGGTTGATCAAGCCAAGTATTCTCAATATTAATTGAGCACAGTTTCAACTTCTCCAGTCTTGGAAAGACGACCTGTAGAAACAAACCTTGTCCATAAACATAACTTATAAACTAATAAGAAAACTCTTTTTTATATCAAAAGAAAATAAAAGATGAAAAATACAAAACATACCCTCATGTCAGATCCAATCTTTATGAACTGTGGTAGATGTTGTAGTGTTAGAGAACACAATTGATTGAACTCAATCATATCATCTGTTTCAATTTCATCACCATAGTCTTTACTTTCTTCACCAAAAATCTCTTCTAGGTTCTTACAATCAGTCACTTCCATTTCTTGTAGCTGAGTAAGGTTTTTTGCCACGGAGGATGCAAAGAGATACTTCAATCTGTCACATTTTTCTATTTTCAGTATCCTTAATTTGCTGAAAGACTCTGCATTGAATTGGCCATGACATATCTTCTCCAAATTAATCAAATGGCGAAGGACCAAGGCCTCCAACTTGGGAAACGCAAGTTTGCCAGTAAATGAGTTGACAATATACAAAAGCTCGAGACCATCTTGTACAAGCAGATGCTTTAAATGTGGAAAACCCTCCTCATGTAGTTTATAAAGAACATTTCTTACACCATTCATTTCATTCAGGTACAGATCTTCAACTCTCTTCAACAAAGTTCGAACCCCTTGCCCTAGATAATTATTAGCACTGATCTTGAGTTTTAACGTTCTTGAAGTTGAAAAGTCATATTTATAGGACCAATTCCATTTGTCTCCTATAAGTATTTTATAACTATTCAACTTCTCAAAGAACATGTCTTGTGGCATAACCCGGATATCTGGAATGTGAAGATGTAAAGCTCTTAGGTTAGACAACCGCTTCAACTCACCAAGACTAGCATTCCTTCTTCGTCCTTGACTATTGGCTCCATCAGCCTCCCATTGAACAAAGCTATTGCCCATATATAGTTCTTCTAACTGTGACAAGCTTGAAATGACATTTGGAGCAATTACTTTAAGCTTTAAACAATTGCTCAAATCTAATAACTTTAACTGCGTCAACTGTCCAATCTCACTGGGCAACTGTTCTATATCAGAGTTCAAAAAGCTAAGAATCTCCAATGTATTTAGCTCTCCAATTATTGCTACATCTCCTAGCATGCAGCCATCCAAACACAATGTTCGAATTTTCTTTAGGCAACAAAGAGATGGAGGTAATGACAAGAAATGTATTCCGGTCAAAACTAAAACATTGATTTCTTTTATCCCTTCAAAAAGGATATCAGGGACTTGAAGAGATTGGTTTCTAGTATACAGCAAAAAGAACATGAGTTCCGGACATTCCAACCTTTTAGGAAGCTCATAAGAAACTTTTCTGTAAGGCAGAGATATAGCGGCTGATTTTTTGGATATTTTCTTCTCCAAAACAGTGGCATTTTGAATATTAAACATAAACTTTGAGGAAGCAATAGTTACAGCAACAGCATGAATGATGTCATGCATTTTAACATGATCGTTACTGTCACCATCCAACAACAAACATGAACCTTTGAGATGATTTATCAACGAATGCAATCTATTCCGTCCTTCTTCCAATGTATCCACATTTTGAAACAAGCCCCAACCAAAAGCATATTTCAGCAAGTCAGCAATAGAAATATTAATACCTTCAGCAGCTAGAGCACAAAGTAGAAATAGTGACTGTGCTTCCTCGTCTTTCAAAAATTTGTAACTCAATTCTATAGTAGAGTACAAAGTATCATCCATACCTGGAATGCATCTTGGGTTAGACTTTTTAAGCTGAGTCAGAGCATCTTTCCAAGTATAAAGACTCTCATTTCTCAGTGCATTTGCAATTACTGAAATTGCCACTGGCAAACCTGCACATTTTTTTACAATCTCAGTAGCTATAGGTTGGAAGTCAGAACTTTCTGCCAAATCACCCACAATCTTCACAAACAAATTCCATGCATCTTTATCAGATAAAGGAGGAACATGGATGTTCTTCTGAGTGTTCATATCCTTGGATAATAAGTCTTGTCTTCTAGAAGTTAACAATATTGTGCATCTCCTAGTCTTGTCATCATTTCTTTCTCTCTCAGCATCTACCAAATGAATTCCAATGGTATCATCATTTCTTTCTCCCTCAGCATCTCCGAAAGGAATTCCAATTGCATCCAAGTCGACTTTCGTCCAAATATTATCGAATATTACAAGTACATTCTTCTCCTTCTTTATCCTATTTCGTAGTAAACCAGCTCTCTGATATTCACTCTCCTGCCCAAATTCCAGGCCTAAATCAAAAGCAATTTGTTCTTGAATTTTTTTGTAGTCTGGGGTTTGTGTTACCTCAGCCACGGCCACCTCATCAAATAACTTGTTTTCCTTAGTCAGCCAAGCTACTTTTTTCACCAGTGTGGTTTTGCCCACACCTCCCATCCCATACACCCCAATCATGTTAACATTAACATCCTTCAATGTGTCCATAATTTCCTGCAAAACTTGCATTCTAGAATCAAAGGCCTCATACCCTCTAACATACATGGATTCTGTCCTCTGTAGAGCAGGACGGTAAGAAACATGACTAAAGTTTCCTTTCCCCAACAGATCCGCACCATTTATTGTGGCGTTCATTGCTTTTTTGCCAAGCCTGTAACGTTGAATCAAATTAGGACATGACGCCAATTTGAAACAGCCGCCCTTGTTTACTTTATCTTCATCCTCAATGATAGATTTTGCTACCTCTTCAGTGAACTCATGCACGTCACTCAGCCATGTTGTAACAAGTTCATAAATCTCTTCCCCTTGTCTTTCAGCAGACTCTGCAGGTTTCTGCACCATCTGTCTTTTATTTCTGAGCTCCAAAACTTGTTTCTTGAGATCGTTGATGTAGTTCTGGTACTTGAACACATAAGAGATCTGCTGTTTAAGCAAACCATATATATCTGATGTAGCCTCTTTTACAACTTCAGTACCAGCAGCCACAGCTATTTCTTGAGCCATTGCCTAATTCTTGTGAGATATTTATGACTAGTGGATATAAAGAAAAAAGTGAGAAACGGTTGATAGGAAACAAAGGTCAAAGAAAAAGAAACAGAGTTACTAAACAAAATACTTACAAGGAAAGCTGGGTAAACAGAATCTAGCTTTAAGCAAACAGATCTCAGCCAGACAAGTGCACCTGCGAGTAAGAATCAAACAGACATGTAGTTATTAATCCCATACATCTATTAATATATTTTTTTCCTATCAATTTCAAGCTGAAAAATAATTTATAACCATTCCATGGGCTAAATCTAATGTTTTTGGTATTGTTGTATTGGAAATTATATACAGCATTAGAAATTTGATATCTCGGATGGCAATGATTTATGATTATTATGTGCAAATAAGAAATTAATAGTAATAAACAAGAAGGTAATCTTTAATTAATTACATATTTAGAGATTCCAATACTCTTCTTAAAAAAAGTGAAATGAAAGGTTAATTTATATAAATCTGGTGTTCTATAACAAAATCAACGCTGAAACTGAATCCCATTATTGATCCATGTGATAGATTTTCCGGGTTTAAGATTGCGTTTTGTTTTATATTTAAGACAAATTTCTATAATCCAAGGGGTTGTACTTAAATTTAAGTGGGATAGATAAGTATGCAAGAGTTGAATTGAGTAATTACATATCTTGTTTCTATCTATCTTAAAGCCTTATTTAGCCAGTGAATGAGGCAGCAAACACGACACCCACTAACTACTGCTAATCATCTTAAAGGAAGCTACATATTTATGAATACTACTGGATATAAAGATAAAAGTGAGAAAAAGAAACAGAGTTAATAAGGAAAATACTTACAAGGAAAGCTCCGTAAACAGAATCTTAGCTTCAACCAAACAGATCTCTGCTATCAGAATCAGAAAAGTTGAGAATGATGCTGGATATTATATATATATATTTTTGAAGTAAAATTATGGATACTGAATATAAAGTAAATCTAGTTAAATGGGACAGAATTGAAAATGAAAACAAGAGTAAAGAAAAAAACGCAGAACTGAAGCAACAGAGTATATATTAAAACAAAATATTTAAAGGAAAATTGAGAGTAAAACAAGTGCAGCTTAAAGGCTTAATCTGAGAGTAAGAGCAAAGTGTTCAAGGAGCAGATTGAGTGTTTGCTTCTCTTCTTTGTGAGCAATAATAAGCAACAAAGATTGATAGATTTTTGCTGTAGATTTTTTTTTCTTTTGAAAGGAAAGGAAGACCAAGACTTTAGTAGTAGAAATGGACAAAATAGTTTTGAGAGAGAGAGAGCGAGCAATAATTGAGTATGAAAACAACTACCAATTGAAGAAACAGAAAGTCAAGTAAATTAATCAAGCAAAACTAGCATGACAACCCCACAATAACAACAGCGTGCAGTGTGAGGCCTCGTTTTTTCTGCAGAGCAATCAAGTATGTGTTTTGTCACTGTCATGTTGTGTGGCCGCCTGCCCACCACCGGCTTCTCATTAAAAGAAGAAGAATCAAACGATATGAAAAATATAATAATAATGATAATAATAATAATAATAATAATTTCTTATATATATATTTCTAGTTTTTAGAAAAAAAATTACTGACTGATATTATAATTGTCTACTTAAAAGCCATTATATTCTAACAACACAGAAAGTAGAAAAATCCAATTGGAAACCAAAATTCCTCTTGCCTGATGAAAGTATGACATAAAACAGGGGAATGGAAACAGAGGAGCTCTGTTTTACTGTTTTTATTCTCTATTTTGATAGGCAAAAATGGTTGTAGGAAATATATAAAAACTCACTGTTATCGTTTACACTTCTTTGAAATCTTGAAATCAAAATATGATATATATGTTTACATCACTGGAAAAACATTTTGCAAACACATAATTCTAACAATCTGAAGCAAAGATCTCCACGTTATCACGTCCATATACCTTAAGCTCTTCTAATTAGAACACTACTGATAATTAATTTATTAACCCCACAATATTAATTTTAAGACATTGATTCTAATTTGGTATTTCACCAGATCAGATTAATTATTGCTATTGAGCAGCCACATCACTTATAAATTATACTTAAGGATTTTAACATGTCTTCCGTAGGGCTGCTTCTCCTCCTTCACCAGCTGGCGTGGGTGAGTCTTGCGCTAGATCGGAGTCAGGACTGGGTCCAAGTCTCCTGATGCCGAAGGAGTTTTGGACGGTGGTTATCCTCCTGGTGATGTACTATCTGTTGGTTATTTCGGTGATGTACCTGGCTTCGATGGGACCTTAGGTGATATAAATTACCTAAGGTCCCATCGAACTTTCTCAACATCTTATTTTGATGAAACCTATTACGCTCAAATTAATCATATCCATATATTTATTAGCAAATGCAGAGCAGAACTGAGAGGTTATTAGTCTTGTAGCATTGACTGAAAGAAATGCAGCCAACGAAAGCAGCAAAATTCTGAAAGAGAATGAGCCAAGCAAGCTGATCTCAAGAGCTAGCAATTGATAAGTGACTCTGCAGCCAATGCAGAAGCAGTTTGAGTTGATTACTCCACGCACAACATTCTCTCTTTCGGATCTAAGACATTTTATTAGTAGCTTCACTGATTACTCCACGCACAACATTCTCTCTTTCAATACTTGGGATCTAAGACATTTTATTAGTAGCTTCACTGAATCAAATATCTTATTCTAATAACCCTCTATCCCGACTACCTGTTAAATCTTTTTGTGATTTCGGCATCAAAATCCTGCCGTTGAGATTGGGTTTTGGATAACAATTTGAACACATAAACCAGCGGTCATCCAAGACAGGTCAAATCTGGATAATATCATGCCTGATACACCTTATCCCAAACATTATTTATTATATACTAAATACGCGTAATATCATTCGGCCCACACAAACATCAAAAACTAATTAGTTTTAACCACTTTGGGCCATTCAACAAAATTATTACTCCACATTTTTGGACTTATGGTTTTGATATCTGGATTTAGTATTTTAATGTATTGAAAATTAAATTTTCTTTTTCTTTTTGTATTTATTAAAATAAATAAATGTTCTGTACTTAACATGTCTTATTAGAATACATGATAAAACACCCCCCCTTTAATATCAATAATAACTTTAAATAATAATAAAAAGTAACCCGCGGTTTTCTATTGACTGATTGGTGATTAGCAATAAATTAAGATGAGATTTGAGTAGGAGACAATTAATGTTTTAATCAACGACCACAGCATATCGACGTGGTGGCTTCAGTCATTATATTTATATCTCAACAAACACCAGGGGGACCATCACAATATGTGAACCACAAACACGGTATCATTGGGATTTCATTTTCATTCCTCACTTTTTACTAAACCAATTTTGTGCCAATAAGTTTGAAAAGTAACAACCCCATCCCTACTTTTTACTGTTGTTAGACAAAATTGTTCTCTGTTTCATGCCTCTGCTTTGTCTTATTAACCAAACAGATCTCTGCTATCAGTATCAAAAAAATTGAGAAAGGCTTTTTTTTTTTTTTTTTTTTTTTTTTAAAAGTGAATTTATGGATACTGAATATAAGGTACACAGAGTTGAAAGGGAAAGAAAGAGTAAAGAAAAAACGCAGAAGAAGGACAAGAGTAAAACAAGTGCAGCTTAATGGCTTAATCTGAGAGTAAGAGCAAAGTATTACAGGAGCAGATTGAGTGTTTGTTTCTCTTCTTTGTGAGCAATAATAAGCAACAAAGATTGATAAACAGAGTATGGGGTAGATTTTTGCTGTAGATTTTTTTTTCTTTTGAAAGGAAAGGAAGACCAAGACTTTAGTTGTAGAAATGGACAAAATAGTTTTGAGAGAGAGCAATAATTGAGTATGAAAACAACTACCAATTGAAGAAATAAAAAGTCAGTAAATTCAATTAATCAAGCAAAACTAGGATGACAACCCCACAATAACAACAGCGTGCAGTGTTAGGCATCGTTTTTCCCACGGAGCAATAAAGAATGGGTCTTCTCACTGTCATGTTGCGTGGCCGCCCGCCCACCACCGGCTTCTTATTCAAAGAAGAAGAATCAAACGATATGAAAAATAATTATATATATATATTTCTAGTTTTTAGAAAAACAAATTTAGTTACTGATATTATAATTATTTATCTAACAACACAGAAAGTAGAAAAATCCAATTGGAAACCAAAATTCCTCTTGCCTGATGAAAGTTAAACGAAAGTTAGACAGAAAACAGGGGAATGGAAACAGAGGAGCTTTGTTTTGCTTTTATTTATTCTCTGTTTTGATAGATTGTAAACGTAAAAATCTACCTGTACGAAAAAGGGGGGTCTAATCCCGTGAGGTCAAGGCCACTAGCGATCTGCTGCACCTGCACACGTAGAGAAACACACGCGTGAAGCGAACGGGAAACACCGGGGTGGTGTTTGCCGTAGGCACTCCGACGCTCAAGTCAGCAAGACTGAAAGGGGCTAATTTAGTGAGGGCTAAGGAATAAGGGATTACCGGAAGTCTAGTCGGGGACTGTGACTACGGCGAAATAATGAAACTCTCGAGTGAAGAGTCTCGGGTGTGAGGGTGTAATGTCGATGTCCCTTGTGAGAGGGCTGGCCTCTGTTTATATAGTGGTCGTCTGGTCTCCCAATCTTGGTAGAAGTAGGAGTCCTAGTACGACTCTGATGCAAACCCTAGAAGAATTAGGGTTGTGGTAAGCTGTCTTACCAGTGTCCGTATAGGAAGGTGATTCTGATTAGGAGAGTAACTCCGAGTAGGAAAGTGATCAGGAATAGGAAAGTGACCTTGAATGGGAGATCGATCAGGAGTAGGAAAGTATTCTGAGGGGGTTGTGGGCTCTGGATTTGTCCACGGACCTAGGACATGGGCCAGGTTTGAGAAGCTTGTGCCCACGTGGTTTGGGCCGGCTACACCTCATGTCGAAATAGGACTAATCTGGCTTGGGCCTCTGAAGCACTGGGCCTGGTCTTTCTTCACTAGTGGTCCTGTTTCCCTATTTGGGCCAAGGACGATTTTTGGCCCTAACATAGA